GAACTTCGACCTGTTATACAAACATATGAACATATTTTTGATTTAAAACAAAAAAAAACACGTAAAATTACTGTCAGCTGGAATCGTTGTTATTATAGTCAAAAACATGAGTATGCATATGATATTATAGGAATTATATTATCATGTTTTTTACATATATTACCATTGACATTCGTTGCTGCAATGAATATAATGATAATAGTACGATTAAGAAAACGTCAACGTCTAATGACAGTATCAGCAAGTTTAATACAATCACAAAAATCGATTAATAAAAGAAAGAAATCATTTAATGATTCCTGTAAACGAAGTTCATTTACATGTAATAATGTATCAGATTATCTAGATAATAAATATCAGAAAAAGAATCGATTTAGTTCACAATCAACTATAATTACAAATCGTAAAGATCAAGCAACATCAACTGATTTATCAATGGAAACACCACGTCCATCGAGTTATCAATTAACTATACCAGTTAATAATATGACATCAAAAAGACATCATTCAAGAGATCGTACAATAACAATAATGCTTGTAAGTGTAGCATTATCTTATTTAATATTAACATTACCATATCGATTATTTTGGTCATATAATGTTTATATTAAACGTGTGAATCCCGATAAATTAAAATCATCATTATATTTATTAAAAATGCATTATATTGATCATATACTTCGTACAATACGTAATGTACATTATGGAACAAATTTTGTTTTTTTTATTTTTCTTTCGAAAACATTTCGTCGAAAATTTCGACAGTTATTTATTGAAAAAATTCTTCAAACAACAACTCGTTTATTTGGTACTCAAAATTCACCAACAACAAATACAGATCATGTAATGAATTCTAAAATGAATCGTTCAAGACATTCAAGTTCAAGATTAGATAAAAAACAATCAGTAAGAGGACCAAATGGTACTCCTGCTCTAGTAACTGAATTTGGATCAAGAAGTTTTGTTGAAGAAATACCTAGTTTTGTTGCTGAAACTCCTCTTCAACAAGATGAAGTAGCACCCATAATAGAACTTGAACACAATACTTTGTCACGCTATGACGGTAAATAATGACAAACTCTACAAAACATCCAGATTTTATTTTTTCGATTCTGTTGATGTTTCAAAACAAATTTTGTTATTCTTTTTTTCTTGTTTTTGTGTGGTTCTTCGATGTACAATTTCATGTCACATAACTAAACTACATTTTTTTTATATGCGAAATAAAAAGTTGTACGATACTTGATATGACAGATCTTATTTCATAAGATAATATGCACTTAGAAGAAAATAGAAATAGAAGAATTGAATAAAATTATGTAAATGAGACAAGTTTATTTATAACTGAGAATAATATAATAAATTCTATAGTAATACAAAATTACATGTAGTATAGAAAGTTATTTTAGTCATAATTATTTCATGATAAACAAATACATTGGGTAAACTGAATTTCATTTGTTGATGTATATATATAGAGAACATATTATTATCATGTGAGCTCTTCCTCTGTCATAATTTGTATTATATAATTAAGAAATTTGTCTTCTATTTCTGAGCATGACATGCTTTGCTTGTAGACATGTAGATTCTATGAGGTTATCATAGCATAAAGCAGTGGGCGTAACAGATAGAAAATGTGACATATTCTACATCAATATTTTCCCATAGGTTAGATATGATATTCGGAAAGAAGCAAGCTCGATTAATTAGTATACTGGTAGACACTGTGTTCTTTTAACTTGAATAATTATGATAACATTTCAATAATTGTATACTTCATAGTTCAAAAAAGAATCTATATATATCCTTTGAATATAACAAAGACTATAGCTATAAGAAAATATGATTTGACATTTAAAATGAGTACTTAACGTAAATCTATCATATTCTATTATTACATACAGTTCTCATATTTGATAAATATACGTCATAAACTATTCAAAACTGAATGTTAAAAGCACATGATTAGTAATTATCTTGACATATATCTGTCAAAGAGAGCGTATACGTCGGAAACAGTTTCTATTAACAGTTGTCAACCGGTATAGTAATATATACTGGAAACTAGCTAAATTAGCTGCTAAATTTAGATAATATATCTATATATTTATATTTGTATATATAAAGTACAAAAGGAAAAAAATTTCTTTCTATAAGACAATACAAGTAAATTATAGATGTAAAGTATAAATAGAAAAAGAATAGCAGAATAAAATTTTTCACTGAAAGATAATCATCTGAGTCCTTTCAAATGATATTATATGAATTAATTCAAAATAATTTAACAGTTAATTAAGATGTATTAATGCATGAATATAAAGCTCTCGTGATATTATTAGACGTCCTTAATAATGTATCATTAGTATGATAAATGCACGCGAAATACATTCTATAACTTCGAGGCTCATGCTAAGTGTGATGTGTTAAAGAAAAATGCCATAGACACGGATTTATACTTGAAAGGAATAATTATAAAATTAACTTTGCATAGATCTACAAGTGAAATTTAAACTTTGAATCTTCTATGAATTGACTAGTTTACTCTATAGAACAGATTATTGTTTGATAAAAACATGAATTCAATGTCAAGTTATTATACAATTATATATACTCAAATAATATGTCAATAGTAAATGATAAATAATCAAATCCCTTCCTTTTTTTTCTCCTTAATCAAATTCAGAAATATATTTATGAATAATTACATTATTGATGTTCGGAGAAAACAAAATCTTTCGAATATAAATATATGTACTTCCGTTGAATTAATCATTTTCTTAGACAAGAATATCAGTTTTCTATTTTCATAGAAGAAATTGGAGAATAGGACATACTCAGACAACAACATCACTCATGATTCTATCTATTTATTGACATGTTTTGTTCAACAAGATCATGTTAATCTAAATTTTGTTTTCTCACGTTTGATATTTTAATTAATATCAATTTCGAGATTGTATAACATATCTGTTCTTTTTATTATCACGAATGAGGAAAAACAAATATACAAAATTTTTTTAACTCTTGTTGTGTTCTTCGATAGTTTCTGATTTCGTACATTGTCGCTTAACTGAATCTAAATAAAAATCGAATATAGAATTCTTTTAAATAATAAATTTTGTTTCTTCTTACTACTTTCATTGTCATCATCAGAATATGAACGTTTTTGAAATGATAACATCATTTGTGGTATATCACATTGTTCAAACCATTTATTTAAATGACCAAATGCCATAAAACGTAAACCAATCTAAATATAAATTGACTTTGAATTATTTTCTTAGATTTTCATTTTTCTTACTTGAGCTTCATGAGTTATATCATTTCGTTGTTGATTATTTAAACTATCAAAAGCATCTTTTATTGAATCAGTTTGCCATGGTATACGTAAACTTGGATTATCTATAAAAATTCAATGATTAATTAAATAAGTACTTATTTAATGAATAGAACGATTTCATTACAGAGATGAAGCATGATCTATTATATAAAACTAATTTAACATGTTAAGATCTAAATAATTAGTGTCTAATACTAGTTTTACGTATTTTAAATTTTATTTATAGACTATGTGTAAGAAAATCTATCGCTATTATTTTAAATTCTGATAATATTCATAAAATAAAACTAAACAAACTTGGTAAAATTAAACCACCGGCAAGATATTCTAAAACATGTCGAAATGCAATAACAGGTGATATCGATTTTGTTAAAGTATGTTCAATAAGAATTTCAATTGCCTAATAAAAATATATGATACATACATACAAATAAAAAGAAAATAGATTATACTTCAGATGATAATGATTGCCAATTACGTGCTATTTTTGTTTTATAACGTAAACAACGAATCAATGCGGATGCATGTTGACGTGTAGTGACATGTTGCTAATTATTTAAAAGAAGAAAAACAATAAAAAATATTATATATTTTCGTTTTTTACTTGAAACCATCGAACTGAATGCATAGCATTGAGAGCATTTAAACAAGATGTTTTGGATAAATATTGTTCTATGTTTACATCATTATTTGATTGAATAGATAATGATGTTAATGAAATTGAAATACACATTTGATCTTCATTAATATTTGTATATACTTGAATAGTATCCTCATGTTTATAACATTGAATATTAGTTTGATTTTTCCATATATCCTAATAAATTTATTAGATAAATTTTTTTTTGGGTTTATTTTTTTAATGTATATTTTAAAATAAAATTTATTTACACATAATAAAGAAAAAAGATTTTGAAAAAGATTTTTTGTTGGCCATTCTTTACAAATAACAACGAGATGAAATAAACGATCACTTTTTATCAGGAGATTCTTTACAAGTAAACCAATACGTGATATACCCATTAATGATGTTTTATTACTAAAATTAAATTAAAATATATATAGATTTATAAAAATTTCAAATTTTATATTGACGTACGTATCTAATTCCGTGTTTTCAGCAGTTGTCAACGAACAAAGTTGTTCAGAACAAGATTTAAGAGCTGATTCAACAGTTTTAACAAATTGTTCAATTGCATCAAGCTAAACAGAGATTTGAATTCTAATATTGTTATATATATGAGTATGCGTTGCTTTGTAGAACTTTTCTTAGCTGAATATTGTTACCTGCGGCACCTTTATTCATTTCAACTTTGGGTTTTATTGCTATCGAGATACATATTGTCATAGAATGATAGATTAATGAAATAAAATTGTTCTTAAAGATAAATATCGGTGTCTAACAGCTCTTCTCATGTTTAGTTTTCCTAACCCTTTTACTGGCGGTGGTACATAGATGGACCACTTTTTTGTGGTGAGGCACATAACTATAATAAATTAGCAACAGTGACTCCGATAGAAATTGATCTGTCAAAATTCGTCTGCGGAAGGGTTAAGTCTGATGTACAGAAGTGTGTGATTGAGTTAATCTATCGCTATGTGATTATTTACACTATTTCAATCATGGAATTTTATTTAATCATTCAGAAATAATCTCATTTTCCATAATGGTTCATTAATTATATGAACAGTCCGTTCTTTCCTTAAATTATACGTCTAACAACTAGAAAACATGTCCTATATCATGATTACTATTCAACTGGAAAGGTAAAGATTAACGCGAACTTACTAACCTAACTTTCTAAAAAAAATTAGAATAAATAGGACAAAACAACAACGATCTATTCATAGATATAGTGGAAATATTTTTAAACACTAGTGTTATTTAAAGAATGTTAAATATAGTATACTATTTGATTATCTTTACTACTTAGTAACTTCTCCGTATATGTTAATTCTATTTTAGGAACAAATTTTCGTTTATCGTGACCTCGACGATGATTTATGCAAAATGAATCTCGTATTCTTTTAAAAATCTAATCGCGATAATTCTTACTAAATTCTGTGTTGGTATAATTTGTTCATGTAACATCATTAAATATTTTGTATCTTCATTAGTTTCTGTTTGATTATAATTATGATTTATTTGTTGATCATAAACATGTTTCACTGTTTCATTTGAACTTGATGCTTTATTTTTATTACTATTATTATTGTTACTAGTATTAACTTCAAAATTTGGATTCACTTTTTTCTATGAATAGAAAAAAAAATCAAAATTTATTAAATTCATTGTTATTTTCTCTTCTTACTTTATAAGACAATTGATGACGTTTGCCCTTCAAATGTGTATCTTTCGCATTTGCATCATTAAATTTACAATCACATAATTTACAATAATATGATTTTATTGTATTTGTATTATCATATAATGTTTCAATATATTCCATACCTATTGATTTTATATTATTGTTTAATGTTTGTTTTTCTTCTTTAATTTCTACAGTTTGAGATTCATTGATAGGCAATGATGGTTGTTGAATAGATTCAGGAATTTTTTTACCTAGTTTTTGATGTAATTTAACAGTCTAAAAATGTAGATTATGTTTATAAATAGAAGAAATATAAATAGACGAAAATTACTTTATCATGTTTACTACCATCTAAATGTGATTTATAAGCATCAGAACTTGTACAAATAATATCACATAATTCACAACGAAATGTATTCGAATTTGTTGGTTGATTTTGAGAATTTGTTTCTTTTTTTAAATGTTTTGAACCTTTTATATGTGCTTGATATGAAGAAAGACCACCACATGCTATACGACATGTTTCACAATAATAAATACGTGTTGAATTTTTAGCATCAGAAGACGAATTATTTACGGAACGACGATGAAAATTCTTTTGAGGTATATGTGCTTGATGTTTATTTAATATTGTTTGTTCAGATGGACTAGTAAAGGCAGCAAGTGTTTCAGCAGCTGATTGAATAAGATGATCATAACCTGAAGAGAAATGTTATACATATAAGACTCGAACAATCATTTTATTGAAATCAATCGGATCTATGTCTTATCATCAATACTCATTTTCGCTAATTGGCGATAAGATTTAACCCTAAATCAATCGTAGATTCTATTGCTTAGTTGGTCTAGACTTTTGCTATTTTCTCATGTATTTTTAACCGATTTGATTATCATTACTCATACTCTTGTATTGCGTGGGATAGCATAAGAGTCTTTTAAATAAACTACTTAATATAATGACGAGAGGGAGGATTTTTTGGAATACTTCAGCACGTACGATGATGTAAATTAAAAAACTAACTATTATAAGAGAATGTCTTGTGTAATAACTGTATTAATATAGGTTAATAATATTTGTCATAAGTCTTAACAAAATTATCGAAAATGAATAGATCTATTAGCTTATTAATTACATAGACCCTCGCTACTCTTAACATGAATAACTCTACCATAACTTGCAGTAACTAATGTTAATGAATTAAAAGTTCTTGTCTATAATCTAAATTATTCTTTTACCATTGATATAGTTTAGTGAAATTTGTTTAATTATACTAACTTACTATTATTATATTGTGGTTGATTTTGCATAGAAGGATACATTTGATAACCTGCATTATATGATATTGGTGGCTAAAATATAATAAAATTCACTCTTTCCATATTTTGAAATCAATGGTTTTTACTTGTAGATGACGATTAGAAAATCGTTGTCCATATAAAGGTTGCTGTTGAACGATTTGAGTATATGGATAAGTACTAAATAATTACAAGGTAAATTTACATATCAAATGAGAAAATCTCTGACATACTTATACATAGAATAGTTTATTCCATTATTTGACATTTTGGTTTTAAACAAACGAAAACAAATAGATAAACTTAAATATCAAAAAAACCGATTTTTCTACTTATTCACGTATATACCAAAATTTAATCCGAATTATTTTACCCAATCATTTATATGTTGACATCGAGCACCCTCTTTTGATAAACATATGTGAATGGAAGACTATATTGACGATTCCTCTTACCTTGATCATATGTCTTTACCACGTATAAAATTAACTATAGTATTTACTCATAAAAAGAACCTTATTTTTAATCGTTAGATCTAAATCAATCCATGTATGCTCGAAGACTTCTATTAAAAAAATTTCTTCGTCATGATTTCGGTATAGATATCTTATAATTTATTTTATTTAATATACATTTTCATATAATAGACTTGTTTATAAAACCTTGTACACAACATTCAAATTGTTTATTTGTACCTAAATATGAACAATTACGTACATATTCATTATCAAGTACTGTATCAACAAGGTCAAACAATAGTTCATATATCCCACGTGATATAGGACAAAGTTCAAAAAGTAATTTGATATTTTTTCAAATAAATTTAATGTAAAGAACAGGATTGATTTGATTCTGTAGGGAAAAAACCCAAAGAATATCCGAAGGGGTTAAACAAGTACATAAATACATTCAGCGATATGATTATATAAGAGTTTTCGATGTTTCTTTGAAGAGTTACAACAAATTAAATGTTATACGAAACATTTGTTGACACAATCAACATTAAGGAGAATTTCCCTTACTGTTTTGTGTTTATATTTGATGTGTAGTAATAAGTTTTCTATCAATGTTATCTCGATCATATACAGACCTTTAAGCTTCCCACGATTCTATTCGAGATTTATTTTTCTATACGAAAAAAAAAGAATGTGCTGACATTTACAAATCGATATTAAACTGATAAAAATGATTCATCGAATTTAATTTTAGGTGGTGGTAGCGGTAGCGGTAGTGGTAGTAATAATGATGATGGTGGTTCAGGTAAAATACCATTTCTCTGTCCGAAATGTGGTGATATTTGTACACATATTCAAAGTCTTGTTTGTAAGTTATCCTTTGATAGAATCTAAATCAAATCTATATTATTCCTATATAGCTTCAACACGATTTGTTAAATGTGAAAAATGTAGTCATTTTTTTGTTGTTGTTTCGGAAAATGAAGGAACAAAAAAAACTAAAGAAGATAAAACAAAAAAACGGCAACCACCACCAATACCAAAAAAGGTTTCTTGTTTTTCTTTTCTTACAATTGATCTTAATCATAACAAAATATTCTCTATTAAGATATATGAATTTTTAAATAAATATATTATTGGTCAAGATCATGCAAAAAAAGTCATGGCAGTTGCTGTTTATAATCATTATAAACGTTTATATAATAATCTTCCAACAACAACAACAACAACTACAGCTAAACCTCAACAAAATTTATCAGATTCATTGAATGGTCTTATGTCAAATTCTCCAAATCAACAACAACAACAACGTAAAATTAAATACTTTATCTTATTTGTTATATTTATTTTATTCTAGGTTTAATGCTTAATGTTGGAATTCCATTTTATACAGTACCATTAGATGGTTCAAATCCTAATTCATCATTTAATTCCAGTAGTAATAATAATAATAATAGTGAAGAATTAAAACATGGAAGTTCCGTTATGAATAATGATAAATATGATCTTAAACTTGAAAAAAGTAATATTCTTATGCTTGGTCCAACTGGTTCTGGTAAATATGATTTTCAGACATAATGACTTATATTTATTATACTACTGATTTATGTTTTTTTAGGTAAAACTCTTCTGGCACAAACAATTGCAAAATGCCTTGATGTACCATTTGCTATTTGTGATTGTACAACACTTACCCAAGCGGGTATATAGAAGAAGAAGAAATAAGATCAATAAATTATTTATTCTTTTTGTAATTAGGTTATGTGGGTGAAGATGTCGAATCTGTTATTGCTAAATTACTTCAAGATGCAAATTATAATGTTGAACGTTGTCAACAAGGTTTGATTTAATTTCTTTTTTTTTAATTTTTAAAAGCAATTCTCTGTCTTAGGTATTGTATTTTTGGATGAAGTCGATAAAATTGGTAGTGTACCAGGTATACATCAACTGCGTGATGTTGGTGGTGAAGGTGTACAACAAGTATTTCATTCATCTTTTCCTTTCTTTTTTTTGGATTAATTTATTTTTATTTTAAAGGCTTTATTAAAAATGCTTGAAGGTACAATAGTAAATGTTCCGGAAAAGAATTCCAAAAAAATGCGTAGTGAAACGATACAAGTTGATACAACGAATATATTATTTGTTGCATCTGGTGCATATACAGGTTTAGATAAAATTATTAGCCGACGTAAGAAAGAAAAATATATCGGTTTTGGTACAACATCAAATGAAGCACCATCACGTCGTCGTGCTTCTCAATTAGATTTACATGATCACCATGATGATAATAATAATTCTAGAATTGAAGAAGAAAATTTAGAACGTGATAAATATTTACAAGAATGTGAAGCTCGTGATTTAATTGAATTCGGAATGATTCCAGAATTTATTGGAAGGTAATTAAAAGAAGAAGAAAAAAAACACATAATTTTGTATAATTTTTTTCTATAGAATACCGGTGATTGTTGCATTTCATAGTTTAAATGAAGATATGCTTGTAAAAATTTTAACTGAACCTAGAAATGCTTATATACCACAATATCAAACTCTATTTCAAATGGATAAGGTAAAGTCAAATTTTAGATTATTTAAAACTATTATCGATAGTAATTGTATACAGATTTATCTCAGAACTAATAAGCACAGATGCGCTTAAAGTTCAGTATATCAATCGTTGTAATACTGATACTAATAATGATTTAAATAGACAAGTCAAATTACAGATTTATTTTGTAAAGAAAGTGGACTCAAATTTTTAGCGTTCATAACATAGACAGTTATATAGATAGATGTTTTTTCAATACATAGATATTTACTTCAAAAGGAATGCATGTTATACTTACATAACGTTAATAATAAAAGCGTGACAACTAAATCTATGAAAAAATATATTGTGTTAAATATACAAAAGAAAAGATTATATAATCGAATATTTTTCAATAGAATAGATTAGTCTAATGATTTTACTTCTCTATACGATGATAATTATATAGCAAAATTTTCCAATGATACTTAACAAATACATTCTTCGAATATAGTAAATAATAAACATGAGAAGAACTTTCCTATTAAAAATCACAATAGAATTTTAAACGTATATGATAACATTTATTTTTAACAAAGCAATGTTTTTAGTTCAAAAAATGCAATAGTACCTTATGCATAGAATTTGATGGAGTGTAGATAAAATTCGAATTAAGGTTTAATTTATCCATTTATAAAAATATTCATTAAATATGATAGCTAAAGAATCAAATAAGTAAAATGAAATAAATTTATACTTGTAGAGCGACTATCGAATTCGAAGAAAAAAAAGCCATCATATTTAAACTAGTTTTTTTATACTGAATAACCTGAAATAAAATATCACTTTTTACATTGTTTAAACTTAATTATCAAGCAAAAAAATTCTTATATGTTTGTATTATTAGGTTCAATTAGATTTTACTGATGGTGCTCTACGTTCAATAGCTAAAAAAGCTTTACATCGTCAAACAGGTGCTCGTGGTCTTCGATCAATACTAGTTCGTTCGAGAAAATTCTTCTATTTAATATATCATCCTTATTTTATTTCTTTAGGAACGTATTTTACTTGAAGCAATGTTCGATATTCCTGAATCTGATATAGTCGGCGTTCGAGTTGATGAAGAATCCGTTAAAACAAATAAATGTCCGGAATATATTCGTTCACGTCCAACAACAACAACAACTACAGATGATCTTCATGAAAATTCTTCCTCATCGACAGAAACTAAAAATACAAAAGATAATGATAATAAAATTTCTATACCAACGTGTTAGATGACAACAATATTCAACTAAGCAATTTATTTCCTATTTATAAATATATACATATATATTTTGCTCTCCGTGTGTTTGACAAAAAAAAGCAATTTATTCTATATTGTTGTTTATTTTATGTCTTTCTTTAAGTGAAACAAAAAAAAACTTTTGCTTGTAAATAAACGTAGATTTAATATATATCATTTAGTTTTCATATTAACATAAAAATTATCGAATTAAAGATAAAAACAAGTTTTTAGAAGCTATTTATTGAAAAAATTTAAAACAAATAAATAATTGAAAATGATCGAATTATTTAAAATTTGATGTTTTGTTTTAATAGTTTTATATTGAATAATTCAGAAATAAATAAATAATTTAGTTAAAAAATTACTTGTACAATAAATGTTATACATATGCTAGAATATTCCCTATTTCATCAGTTCATTTCTTTTGTACATTGTATATTGCAATGACGCATGATTACCTCGATCTATACAGATGTATAGATAAACAAAGGATGTAGTACAGCATATCACTAATATTTTCTTTTCTTTATTTGTAACTGACACGTATATATTTGTTAGCTAGAATATCTTTTTCTATGTTCGAGGTATAGTATAGTTCTTTCTCTTTCTATATCGATTTCTATATATCATCATCGATGAATACGATGAAGAAAGAAAGTCGAGGTCAATTTTATGAAATCAAGAAAAATATAGTGAGAGAGAGAGTGAACAAATAAGTGATATCATAGACTCGGACCGACAGTACAAAAGCCGTGCTCTCATCGTTGAATACCTTCACTTTGCAAACGAACGCGGTTAGCATAGAACGCGAACGCGCATCAGATAAATAGAAGGATATATAGAGAAGCGGGACGGTTATCTATCGTCGTTTTTAAGCATATTATTCGCATCGAATTTTCATTAAATCCCAAGATGCAACAGGTATGTTCATTAATTTTCTTTTTAAATAGAAAAAAAATATATATTGTTTTATATTATAGGGTCATTTGAAACTGTTATTGTGTATACTATTGGTATCTAGTGCCACTAGTCAAAATACTGGCGGTAAAATATATTTCATCTAATTCAATTCCAAAACTAAATTTCTGTTATTTATTATATTTCAGCTAGCATGTTTGGTGGAGGTATGGGTGGTTTTGGTGGCATGGGACAATCAGGTTTCGGTACTGGTGGTTTTGGTGGCATGGGACAATCAGGTTTTGGTACTGGTGGTTTTGGTGGCATGGGTGGTGGTTTTGGTCAGCAATCAGGTTTTGGTGGTGGTTTTGGTGCCGGACAATCAGGTTTTGGTGGTCTTGGTGCCGGACAATCAAGTCTTGGTGCCGGACAAACAGGTTTCGGTGGTATGGGTGGTATGGGTGGTTTCGGCGGTATGGGTGGTGGTTTTGGTCAGCAAACAGCTGGTGGTGCCTCAGGGTGGGGAGGAATGATGGGTCAATCATCCGTCGGACAAGCTGCTGTAGCTCAACCAGCTCAACAACCAGCTCAACAAGTCGCTCAAGCACCAGTTGACCAAAGTGCCGCTGTTCAACAGCCAGCTGCCGATCAAGGTAGTGTTGCTCCACAATCTGGTGGTGACGATCAAGCTCCACAATCATCTTCAGGTGGTCAATTTGACAATGCACCCAGTGCTGGTGGTTATGACAGTTCATCATATGGTGGTGGTTCTTATGGAGGTTCATCATACAACAAAGGTAATGATTATGCTCCTTCATCATATGGTGGTGGTTCATATGGAGGTTCATCATACAACAAAGGTAATGATTATGCTCCTTCATCATATGCAGGTTCATCATATAACAAAGGTGGTGATTATGCTGGTTCATCATATACCAAAGGTGGTGATTATGCTCCATCATCATATAACAAAGGAAATGATTATGCTGGTTCATCATATAACAAAGGTGGTGATTATGCTCCATCATCATATAACAAAGGAAACGATTATGCTGGTTCATCATATACCAAAGGAAATGATTATGCTGGTTCATCATATAACAAAGGTGGTGATTATGCTCCTTCATCATATACTAAATCTAG